AATAAGATTTGAAGCACACTACTAATAAAGTATAGGCCTTGTATATTATGCTTCTTCCCCTTATTTTCAAGTCCCGACATTTGTATGGTATAAAATGTGACCCTGGACCACAAAACCAGTCATAAGGGTCAATTTTTCGAACTTGAGATTTATACATCAATGAAAGCTGAATAAATAAGCTTCCCATTGATGTATAGTTTGTTAGGATAGGACAATATTTGGCCGAGATACAGCTTTTTTAAAATCTGGTATCTGAGGGAGCAAAAAAAATCTAAATATTGAGAAAATCGCCTTTAAAGTTGTCCAAATGAAGTTCTTAGCAATGCATATTACTAATCAAAAGTTACGTTTTGTTATATTTAAAGTAGGGAATTTACAAAATATCTTCATGGAACTTGATCTTTACTTAATATCCTAATGATTTTTGGCATAAAAGAAAAATCTATAATTTTGACCCATACAGTGTAATTTTGGCTATTGCTACAAATATATCCCAGCGACTTAAGACTGGTTTTGTGGTCCAGGGTCACAAATATGAAGTTTACCATAACTAGAGATGAAGTGAAATGTGAACTGAAGTGAAGTGAACTGTCCATTCAGGAAATGCGAATCCACCACCAAACATCACTTCCTGGTTCCAGTCAAAGGGTCAGGGAAAAACCCATGATGACACAGCCAGTCAAATCCCACATGATATCTATGTGATTGGGACACAGGAGGACCCATTGGGAGAGAAGGAGTGGATAGAAACAGTTAGGGGAGCCCTTAGAGATATAACCAACATTAGCTTCAAACAAGTAAGTGACACAAAACCCCACAGGAAGGCTTCAGGTGCCTTATGTTGTTTGCATACTACTTTAGATCATTCTTTATTCTCTGTGGAGTAATGACATGCTATGTTATGACACTTGACAAAATGTTTGAATGTGTTGAATGACCTAGTATACAGTACAAGCTGTGTGTGGTTTTTGACAGATAGCCACTCAGACACTGTGGAGTATAAGGATTGTGGTTCTAGCCAAGCCGGAACACGAGAACCGCTTCTCTCACGTCTTCTGTGACAGCGTTAAGACTGGCATAGCTAATGCTTTGGGTTTGTTTAAAGCTTTTTTTTTTCCATTACAAAATCATTAGCAATTGTAAAGCTAGCTGTTTACCGCTCTTCCTTGTGCATAAAAAGCTGATTGTGTGTGCATATGTGTGTTTAAAGGGAATAAAGGAGCTGTGGGGGTGTCTTTTATGTTTAATAGAACCTCCTTTGGGTTTGTCAACAGTCACCTGACATCGGGAAGCGAAAAGAAACTGAGGTAAGCCACAACCCAGAAACCTGTTAGTGTGACAAATGAGACATTGACATATAATACACAAAAATAATATGTATATAATTATATATAATAATATGTATACACAAGAATAATATGAATAATATAATTAAGAACTTATTACTGTACCTTTTCTAGGCGAAACCAGAACTATGTTAGTATTCTGCGTTTTCTGAATCTGGGAGATAAGAAACTTAATCCTTTTGACATCACACATCGCTTCACACACCTCTTCTGGCTGGGGGATCTGAATTATAGGGTTGACTTACCATCACAGGTAGGTTCAAATGAATGTGCATCAGCATATACTCAAGCATGTTGCAAATATTTTGCATGTTTTCTCCCCCTGTAAATAGACACAAGCATGTTGCATGCTGTAAATATTTGTGCATGTTTTTTTTCCTGTAAATATACTCAAACATTGCATGTTTTAAAAATGTGGCATGTTTTTTCTTTTTGTATAAGTCAAAGAGATATCAAAAAACTTTTTTAAAACTTATTTAATGCCTGTCAAATGCAAACACAAGACAAATAATCTGTTCATAAAAGAAACTACTTTTCTGTTTTGTATCAGATACTAACAATACGCCACTGCAGAGGTAATGTTTTATCACAAAAGTAATTAAAGGGATAGTTCACCCAAAAATGAAAATTGTCATTAATTACTCACCCTCATGTCATTCCAAACGATCTTCAAAAAGATCTCTGTTCATCTTCGGAACACAAATTAAGATATTTCTGATGAGATCTGAGAGCTTTCTGACCCTCCATAGACAGCAAGTTAACTACCACAGTCAAGGCCCAGAATGGTAGTAATTACATCGTTAAAATGGTCCATGTGACATCAGTGGATCAACCGTAATTTTACAAAGCTACGTGAATACTTTTTGTGCGAAAAGAAAACAAAATTAACGACTTTATTTAACAATTCTTCTCCCGTGAGTTACCATCTACTGCCATTATCGAGAGTAACACGACGCATGCGCGTGATGCTGCTGACGTATAACACGCATGCGCTGCGCCTTGTTTACGAGCAGAGGAAAGCTCGCGCATAAGTTGTGGTACTCTCCATAATGGCGGTAGATGGTAACTCGGGAGAGAAGAATTGTTGAATAAAGTTTTTGCGCGCACAAGAAGTATTATCCCAGCTTCATAATATTACGGTTGAACTACTGATGTCACATGGACTATTTTAATGATGCCCTTTCTACCTTTCTGAGCCTTCACTGTGGTAGTTACCTTGCTGTCTATGGAGGGTCAGAAAGCTCTCAGATCTCATCAAACATATCTTAATTTGTGTTCCGAAGATGAACGAAGGTCTTAAGGGGTTGGGAACGACATGAGGGTGAGTAATTAATGATATAATTTTCATTTTTGGGTGAACTATCACTTTAATGCTATAAAACAGATGGCTACATATAAGGTTGACATGTCCTGCAGTGTTTACCAGTTCCTTTATAACTATTATGTTTACTTATGTTATGAACTCATATGAATTGACAGACTATGTGGAATACTTGTACTTTTACTAATTCATTTGTCACACCGCAGGACCATTTATAATGGTCTAGTGGAGATATTTTTATATATTATAACTTATAAATGAAATTCCACTGCAATTCATTCTAAATCATATGAACAAGTGCCTTAGCATAGTGCTTTAGAATAAAGAAAAGAAAGTAGTACAACAAAAATAGACGAATCTCTGCTATACGCTTGCAAATCTTATTTTAATACAATGTTTCTAAACGTTATGCATCAGTTACCCACATTGATACTTTGAGGCTTAAACTGCCTTTGTGGTTTAGAGAGCGTAGTTGTAGTCAGGAGCAGGCAGTTCCTCTATTAAGACCAGAGCTGTCACGTACAGCAGCTCCTGACGTCAACTGACAGGAAAAGACAGAACTTTTGCATAGTTGTTTGCTTTTTGCAGGAAGCTGAGAACATTGTAATGAAGATCAAACTGCAGCAGTATCAGGACCTCCTGGCCAGAGATCAGCTGAACATAGAGAAGGAAGAGGAGAAGGTCTTCTTAGACTACGGTGAGAGCACTTGTGCATAATGTACCTGTCGATTTTCATTTCCACTGTAAATTTTGACAGATTTCGATTACTCAACTGCAAAGTTGCCCAGTGTCCATCCCTAGGTCGTCCTAGCCAAAACTTACACCTTTAGTTGAGTCAATGTTGCTATGTCTGACCAGTCAGAAAAACAGAGCAATGTTGAAATCGCCACAGTGTTTACACTTCCACCTATGAATGGCTCACTTATAGTTTCTCTACAAAGATGGGATGGAATAGTATTTTAAGTATTTCAGTACCCAAATATCACATCAACATCAACTCAGAACCATCTTTTAAAGTTTAGGACCTTATGCTGTTAACTGGAGGTTTAATAACTTTAATCCAAACCAGGCTTTGAGGACTTTTTTGATAGTTTGTATTATCATTAACCACAGTAAATAAGATCAAACTACCAAATTCAGAAGGAACATACACTAGTTTGGGGTTGGTAAATTTTTTTAAAATGTTTTTGAAAGAAGTCTCTTATGCTCATAAAGACTGCATTTATTTAATCAAAAATACAGTAAATACAGTAATATTGAGAAATACTATTAAAATTTAAAATAACTTTTTTTTTTAATTATAAAATAGTTTATTCCTGTGATGGCAAAAATGAATTTTCAGCAGCCATTACTCCAGTCTTGTCTTCTGATATGCTGATTTGGTGCAATAAATATTCATTATTATTATCAATTTAGAAAACAGTTGTGCTGCTTAATATTTTTGTGGAAACCATAATAATTTTTTTCAGGATTATTTTATGAATAGAACGTACATAAGATAGTTTGTAACATTAAAAATGTCTTTACTTTATCTTTTGACCCATTTAATGCGTCCTTACTGAATAAATGTATTGATTTCTTTGCCAAAAAAAAAAAAAAAATCCTACTGACCCTAAAATTTTAAACTATAGAGTATAAACATGGGTATACAGTATATGCCACCAAGGTTGCTTGAATGCCCTAAATCTAAAGTGATTATCTTGTGCCACTTCATGCAGAACACATTTTGTGTTCCACTGCACTGCTTTTTAAGTGTTTTTCTATTTATTGTGTAGCACCTTCTCCTCTTTTAGAATCTTTGTTTTCATTTCTGACTTCCACCCATTTTTCTGTTCCTCATGTTTTTATACTCAAGATCACTTACCGTCCTTTTTAATCCTTGTTTCATATGTTTTATTTTACAGAGGAGGAGGAGATAACATTTGCCCCCACTTATCGTTTCGAGAGAGACACACGGGAGAGATATGCCTACACTAAAGCCAAAGCCACAGGGGTACAGTGTGAAAGACATGCATTTCAACAACCTTCCTCATGGACCAGATATATTTTAAAATAGAATTTTCTCATTTAATCATGAAAATTCTGTTTACATAAATATTTGATCTCACAAACAGACAAAATACAACTTGCCTTCATGGTGTGATCGTGTGCTTCGCAAGTCCTACCCTATGGCGCATGTGGTTTGCAACTCGTATGGTTAGTTCATTTAATATAAAATGCAAGTTCCAAGTTCCAGTAAACAATCAATGCAGTTAAAACGTCATTACATTAACCAACATTACTCTTTCATATTTCAGGATGCACCAATGACATAATGACAAGTGACCATTCCCCTGTATTTGCCACATTTGACGTTGGTGTGACTTCTCAGTTTGTCTCAAAAAATGGTATGACTAAATAACAAAAATAATAAATATTCCACTATGACAGCAAGCCTACCTTTAGACATAGAACTGTTACATCCTCCCAGCTGTCTTATGCATTGTGCTGTTGCATTATTAACTATTTTTTTGCTCTTTACAGATCTCTCAAAGGATGCACAGGGTGCTATAAAAATCATGAATTGCGTAGCTGTTCTTTTGACTAAATCAAAGACTAAGTTCTTTATTGAGTATCACTCAAGCTGCTTGGAGAGTGAGGAGCTTCAATTATTATATCATAAATGATCACAAATCTTTTGAACCCTCCACTTTGTTCTTTGTAAGATCACACGAGCTACTGTAAAAAGAGAACAGTGAAGTTAAATACTTCCAATTCATTTTCTAGAATTTGTAAAGAGTCCTGAAGGAGAAAACCAAGAGAACACAGAGGGCTCGATAAAAGTACGATTTAGCGGACAAGTTGAGGTAAAAAATGTTATTTGATAAATCATTATGAATTAAAACATTATACATGTTTTAATCAGCCACCACGTTTACATTCTCTTTGTGAAATCGCTTTGCAGCTCACGCCCATCATTGCAGACCCTGAATACCTCCTTGAGCAGCACATCCTCATCTGCATTAAATCTACAGATTGTGATGAGTCATATGGTATGTTTACCTAAAACGTGTGAACTCACATTTGAGCTGGCTTGGTAGCTCTCATTATTGCTCATTGACCACTTTGCAAGCACATCATTTTCTGAATATGGTTCATATTCTAGTGAAAATAGTGATGGGTAGTCAAGGTTAACACTAGCACAGAAATCAACCATTGTTGTTGACTGTTGCTGTGTCTAAAATCGCTTACTTGTTCACTCATTCTCCAGTCACTCGGTTTCCAGTAGTGCGTGGCAATTGAGTGCACTAGGCCGTATCACTAGGAATGAACAAAATGAAGTGAGGCACTTTACACTGACATATTACACCGTTCGTTAGAATGCTGGAGCTGTCACAACATCATTCTGCCATAGATTCATCCGACATTAGCTTCCTTTAGAAAAACAAACAGAAGTCATAGGTAACTTAGCATTGTAATTACACATACCTCCATGCAAGCATTGTCGTTTCATTGACGTTATATTAATGAAAAAATATTAATTTGGTTTTCCATGGTTAACCTAATTTGTGTTCATAATCGTTAAACTACCTATACGTATATTTAAAAAAATTGCCACCAAGAATAAACACATCAGTAAGTGTACATTGTTCTATGTTCTTTTGTATGTAAAGAAAAAAAAGAATACATTTAGTGTATAATGACTGCAATTTTGTATTATATTTCTGACCCTGTTTTGATGCAAAATAAATGGAGTTGAGGAGCTGATTGTATCGACTCCTATGATGGGAATAAGGAATTGGAGTCGACTCTGAAAACCTGGAATTTAACACCCCTAGTTTAGAACATTATTAGGAAAACTATATTTATATGCACCACAAATACAGGGATATTCCTGTAAACATTTTTAATCATAATATTCCAAATAAAATGAATAAATGTTGAATGTTCAGTCATGGCGAAGATTGTTCAGTCATGGTGAGTATTCCGAATAATCTGTTAACGTGACTCAAAATTCTGATTAATACTACAGTCATACGCCATTTGTCATATTCGGATTTCAAGAAACTGGAATATTGACTTAATCTGGTTATAGCATGTGTGTACATGATGCTTACATAAGTTGCCATAAGACAATGTTCTGATTAGTACTGGAATATTCCTATGCATGTACACAATTACGCTGTGCTCTGCCTGTAGGTGAGGGTTGTGTGGCTCTGCGTTCTGCTGAAAGCTCTTACACTGAGTTCAGTATCAAACTCGCACATCATGGTGAGCGCACAGGTCTGCTAACAGGTGGCATACAGCTCCCCAAATCAGATGGAAAACAGACAGAGAAGCTGTATGGTGAGTGCACGATTTGTTTCTTTACAGCAGTGCCAGTTCAGAATTGTGTGTTCCTTTCTCAAAATTGTTGCTTTATTCCAGATTTCATTAAAGTTGGAGATGACCCAGGATCTGGAAAAGGCAAATCAGGAGATAATACCAAAATGTAAAATATTTCATCTTCCCTCTTTGCTGTTTACATTTCTTCATTTATCAGATGCTTATATCCAAAATGTTATGTTGTTATTTTATTACTTTTTAAATCAGTTACATGTTATATTTTCTTGTTTACTTTGACATTCTTCACAAAAATTAGATTTGATTGTTTGTACAAATGCACAACTTTGACATTCTTTGACAGGTCTTCTTCAGTCCTCACCACTGACATTAGTAACCCCAGTTATATGGGTGTAGGCTACAAGAGCAATAACCAGTCAGACAGGGGCCCCGGCAGAACAGGGTCATCATCTGGGCATTCATCAAAGGACATGACGCATGGCAATATCTCCCCAAAAAAGACTAGTTACGAGCATGCTACACCCAGCCCAACTACAAAGACATCAAACCCTATGTAAGTATCCACATTATGTTTAATTTAAGAGCAGGTGAAGACATTAGTAACTTGAATGTGCGAGGGGCCTCCGGTGTTCTTCACTTCCAGTTATTTTTAGTGATACAAAACAGCTTGTTATGCTGCTTAATATTGCAAACTAGTATTTCTTATTATATTATTTTAATGTATTATCGTAATTGTAAACACACTGGTTTGTAGCACAAATAGTTTTACAGTTTACTGCACTTTGTTATTCTTCTAGTTATTAACCTATAGCAGCTAATGGGTTGGAAATCTGGCATTGGAAGAAAATAGCGTAATTTACAAAATAAGGTGGATATATAGACATTTTTTTTTATCTCATTTACCTCATCAATATATCCTTTGTCATCTGACAAACATTTTTGATTTAGTCAAATATAACAGGTTATCTGCCAATATTAGAGATTTTAAAATGTATCAATATCAGTTGATATTGGATATTTCATTCCCATTTGCCATTTTTTGCATTTAGATTATCTTTGCCATTATGTAACACTAACTTAGTCAATAATTAAAAACACTTAGTTTAATAAGTTTAATATTACATATAATATAATATTACAGTTTAATAACACTGTAAAATGTAATCTTTGGCAAATCTCAAAATGAATTCTTTTTCATATTGTATATTATAATGTTGTGATGCCTAAATTCACTTTTAGTGTTTTATTTTTAATTTCTTTGTACAAAAAAGTATAGAATTTTAATGTCTACCTTTAATTGGTTGTCAGCCTTGACAAAAAAAAAAAAAAAGGTATAAGCCACAATATTAATAATGCATCCCTAATATTTAAATTAATGTTTATACAATTTTCTGTTTGTTTGAATGTTGCTTTGTTACTGATACCAATTAAAATATTATTTCTGATGACTAAAAAAAAAAGTGTAGGCCTACAAATGAACACTGCTTGTTATAAGAATAACCGACAGTTTGCATCCGTTAAAGTGATTCTAGATTAATCTATAAATTCATTTTGTGTGGTTATTTTTGGTTTAGATCTGAGGATGGGCAGACTCCAGAGATGTTTGAGAATCCACTTTATGGCTCAATGAGTGCATCACGAGGAAGTAAAGACCATCTCCCTCCTCCAGATGCTCACTTCGCCTTTTCCAAAACAGACCTTGATGCTGACCGTCAGCCCCCTGTTCCGACCCCTCGCATCCGCTCTTTCACCTGTTCAGAAACCAAACCCCAGTCATCATCAGCCACAAACACCATGAGCAGTGGTCTACAACCCCAGAACATCACCAAGAAGCCAGTGGTGCCTTCTCGCTCTGAAGGGGGCACGACTGGGCCTAATAGACCTCCAGTGCCCATGAAGTCCCGCCCTGGTCAGCCACAAGAGCTTCAACCAAAGCCCAGAGACTACAGGGACAGTTCTGAGCTCCCATCCAAGTTGCGGCTACAAACCAGATCAGGCCAACCAAAAGATGGTATGATAACTATAGTATATTCTACACATTCCTTCTTTGTGCAAAACACTAGATCGGGGTCTCGAAACTCATCTGTCAACTGACAGAGAGTTGCAAGGGCTGAGTGTAAACAGCTCTATTGATTATAATGGGAGCGACCCCAATCCATTAGGCTCAAAAATAATCACATTTAACTATTAAAACCATTGGTTTAACAATCAGTATTTGATACTACAGAGCATTTATTTATTGTTTATATAACTGTAATTTATATGATCATATATAGTAGGCCTACAGCCTTCATTAGTCAGCTAAGGGCGATTATAAGGCATAAAGACATTATAAACATAACATCATGATTTTCTGCCAAGCTTCTTTGAAACAATGTGCAATATGAATAGCACTATATAAATTTGCCTTGATATTTAACATTTATTGAAATATCTCTCCCTTCTCTTTCAATTGCAATGTCTGTCCTCAGGGCATAATGAGACGCCACAATTGAAGATGGGTCGGCCTTTAAAATGATTTCCTATCAGCTATCATCGTTGGTGTGAGCTTCATATCTGATACTTGAGACTCTGTAGTACTGGGCATAAGACATAAATGTATAAGAATAAGTGTATAAACAATAGCAATAGAAAGAACATGGATATTGATTTTTAAATGATGAATGTTTCACAGTTTGAATGTCACTGCATATAGTTTCACATAGAGCAATCATTTCTATCAGCCTCTGTTTAAACATTTAATTTTGCTTGAAATATTTTTATTAAAGGGAGGAGAGTGAAAAGGTGTTATCGTATATAATAAAACCAAGTGTTGTACAGTCATTGAATTGTTGTTTTTTTTCTTCCTGGAAAAATGCTCTTTATCAGTCAGTTTGACCATAGGCCACAAATAGTTGTTCTTAGAAATCCAAGGAGTGTAGCACTTTTCAAAATTACACATGCTTCCATTTTCCATGTTTTTTTTAATTTCTGTATTACTATGTATGGCATTGCAGAGCCCATACTGTAAATAGCAAGGAACTAGTTTAACCAACTAGCAATTAGCCAGGGCTAATCAGTCTTCTCGCTTCTTAGATTCAAATTAGACCAATATACCATGTTATATACCATGTCAACTATATGTTTAAAAAAATAGAAGTTATGACCAGTGTTTAAGAAAAAAAAAATAGATGACAAACTTTTAAGGCTACAGTCTCTAAGCAGGACCAGCGCTCTCTCCCACCTTCAATACCATGACTGAGGTGAGACCCTTGAGCCTAGCCTCCAACTGCTCCCGGGGCGCCGCAGCAAATGGCTGCCCACTGCTCCTGGTGTGTGTGTGTGTGTACACTATTCACTGCTGTGTGTGTGTGCACTTGGATGGGTTAAATGCAGAGCACACATTTCTGAGTATGCGATAGCATACTTGGCTACACGTCACTTTCACTTTCACATATTCGACTGGCTACTACCCGTGCTGCTTATTATTTGCCTCCATCTGCTGGTGAAAGAGGTGAACTACCAGAGATCCTCCTATTGAAGGAGGACCGTTTGCTAAGTAACGGTCAAACGGACCGTTTGCTTCTCTGGCATTAATTTCATTATATAAAATATTTCATAATTTTATAAAATATGTATATTTTTTCATTTAAAAATAACATATATAAGATTTTTTCGTAAATAGACAATTTCCTATTCAGTATTTGTGAGGCATTTTCCGAGATGCGTACAGATGACGCAAACATTCCTCCACCAATGGGAGCGTTACGTCTTCGTTCGTCTAGCCAATAGAAGCACGAATTGAAGAACACGGGGGGCTCTTCGATGACGTGTGTGATCTGAAGCACAAAACCGCGTGAAAATGGTAAGCGTTGTTATTTAGCAATAACAAACGGTGCTTTCCGTTTAAAAAATAAATAAGCGACTTCGCAGCGACCAGATAAATCTGTTTGCAGTATTTAAAATGTATTATTGATTACTGCTCACCGCTGTTGGTGAGGTATTAATAATGGCAGCGTCCTGCTAACGGCTAGCTAACCTGTCCAATCTCAAACTAATTTGTATTGTTATTCTTTTAATTCAATTCCAAATAGAAACAACTCCTATTGGCACCGGATATTTGTTAATGCTTTGGTATTTGTTATCGAATAGAGTAATTTAGAGCCAATGTAAACTGCTTTTGATGGCTTCTCTCGTTGTGTATGGCGTTGTACTGTATTTCACACTTTTCACTCGTTTGATCATCTTTTGTACATATATCAGGCCTTAATTTGAATGTAACATTCAAACTTTTAATTCCTCAGCTCTTCTACTCGTTCTTCAAGTCCTTGGTTGGCAAAGATGTTGTGGTGGAGCTCAAGAATGACTTGAGGTAAGCGCTTTCCTTTTAATATGTCATGTACTTTTAAAATAGTATGTCATCTCATCACATTCTGAATATCAACTTTGCAGCATTTGTGGAACATTACACTCAGTTGATCAGGTATGGCTGGACATTGCGCTTTATTGAAATATAAGCAAATATTGAGTGAATTTAATTTCAAAATTAAACTTCTCCCTTCACAGTATCTGAACATCAAACTGACAGATATCAGTGTCACTGATCCTGAGAAATATCCGCACATGGTGAGAACTAGTCAAAGCGTGTTCCTTGTTAAAGATTAGGAAGTGTTCAGACTATTTAAAGGGGTGGTTCATTGCAATTTCACTTTTTTTAACATTAGTTAGTGTCTAATGTTGTTGTTGAAGCATAAAGAATATCTGCAAAGTTACAAAGCTGAAAGTTCAATGCAAACGGAGATATCGTCTGGCAGGAAATTCTGGCAGTTTAATGCATACAAAAACAGCTGGTAGGGACTACAATGAGTTACTTCCCGGGTTAGTGACATCACAAACCCAGATAAACCCCGCCCTCGGGAAAAGGCAGCAAAGGGGACGAGGCCGCAGAACAGGAAGAGAAAACTAGAGGTGCACATAAAAATCTATTCATATATGAATCACGATTCTGTCTTCTAACAATTCTAATGGATTCACAAGTTTCAAAATCAATGTTCTAAAGCAGCAGTTCTTAATACTGTTCCTCGCGTCCCCCTGCTCTGCACACGCTCTGCATCTCTCTCTCTCTCTCGTTCAGCTCACCTCCAACAATAAACTGTTACAATTATATGCTTATTTTCACATAGTTTACAATACAACCGGAGCACATGCCGCCGAGGTGAGGGGCGGGATGCGTAGATGTGCGCTAGAGGCGGTTTAGCCAATCACAACACACTGGGCTAGCTAACCAATCAGAGCCCATAGCCAATTTCTGATAGGGGACGTTAGACTGCACCCCATAAACACAATCAAGCCTAGAAAAAATCCAGTGAACCACCCCTTTAAACCTCGATCACTCAATAGATTGATAAACAGAATTAATACTTAAATAGCAGAAAAGAACACTTGTTGTCTGCCTGTGCCTATACCTCAGCCACTTGAGTCTGTCATGTATGAAATGTCATATTGAGTTTAAGCAGGTGCTCAACCTTCAGGAGAACTGTCTATATATGACTTTTAATTGTTTTGTTTTAGTTGTCGGTGAAAAACTGCTTTATCCGTGGATCAGTAGTGCGATACGTTCAGCTTCCTGCAGATGAGGTGGACACACAGCTACTACAGGATGCTGCACGCAAAGAAGCTATGCAACAGAAACAATAATGTTTACATTTGAGAATAGTTTCTTGTTGGACTGTTCAGAAGCATCATCCGTGGAGCTTTGTAGATTAAATGTTTTTTTTCCCCTACCTGAAGCTTTTATGTAAAGTGTGGAATCTGGATTTTTTTGTTGTTGTTAATTTCCATTTTTACCTCTGTTGTCATGAGACCCATTACTGAGAGGGAATGACTTTTTTCAGTTAGTAGTGGTTGTGTGCTTTTAATAATGGTTGGAAGGTTCTGTATTGCATCCAGATGACTTTTGTTTTAGTTAAGTTCTTCAGATTACTAATTCAGGAATAAAGTATTTTCTTCCACTGTGCTTTTTGTTATTTTATTTCAACCATTGTTCAAAATCGCATTCTGTCTGAGTAAATACTTCTTTTGAATAAGTCTTTGAATAAGACTTAAAAAGGTATTTTTGATGTCATGGGTCTCCAACCCTGCTCCTAGAGAGCTCCCGTCCTGTAGAGTTCGGCTTCAACCCCAATCAAACACACCTGAACCAGCTAAGCAAGGTGTTCAGGGTTATTTGATAATTACAGACATGTTTGTTGGAGCAGGGTTGGAACTGAAGTCTGCAGGAAGGTAGCTCTCCAGAGTCCAGGCACAGGTTGCAGACCCCTAATATAAAACATACTTATTTTTATTTATTTTTTTACAGTGGTAAAATTATTTGTTTTAAATCATATGAATGTAATCCGGACGTACAACATCTGTCAGTTGGGTTGCCTCCGTGCCATTCACCAATCAAATCCTTTCCCGTGGCTTCATGGGATATTTAAGTGTCCATTGTATATGCACTTCAGAATCTCACTGTAGATTACTTTTTGACTACTGCTTTATGAATACTCTGAATTTGGACATTCCACTTGTCTCACATACTGTTTTTCGCATGCTATATAGTAGGGAACTCTGTGATTTCGGATGCAGCCAAAGTGTATGTTGCGCAGCTTAAAATGTTTATATACAGGCTAAGGTGTAGGAACGGTGTGTATGACTAGTTAAATATGGGTGGGACACTTAAGTTTTTGTATTTAATGTTTATTTTTGCTATGTACAGTGTAGAGGAGTTCTGTACCTATTTTAAATGGTGAGGAGCTAAGTCATTTTGCATTGTGCTTTAAAAAAATTAACATCATATGAGATCTTATTTTTAAATGATTTATTCATTCATCATCATCATCACTATGCGCTACCTATTTAGGCCTACAGTGTTTTAAAAGGAGTGCCTAAAAGTACTCGTGGGGGTCAGTGGATAAGATAAGAGTTTTCTAAATGTGTATGACTTCTCTTGCTACTAACTAGTTTCTATTTAAAACTGAAGCATTTTCATTGTGCTTTAAAAAAAATTAACATCATATGAGATCTTATTTTTAAATGATTTATTCATTCATCATCATCACTATGCGCTACCTATTTAGGCCTACAGTGTTTTAAAAGGAGTGCCTAAAAGTACTCGTGGGGGTCAGTGGATAAGATAAGAGTTTTCTAAATGTGTATGACTTCTCTTGCTACTAACTAGTTTCTATTTAAAACTGAAGCATTTTGTACTGTATCTGACAAACTAAAACTAATATATTACAACATTTGGCTGTAGCAGAGCGTTGTTTCATTTAAAAGTTTGCTGTTTTGTATGTAGAAATAATAATCCCTAATTTTAATATCAATATTGGTTTATTTTAACAGTCAAATTTAGACGATTTTAGCGTGTTAATGTTATGAGAGCGCCCTTTAACAGAGTGCCGAAGGATTTGCTAATTAGCTCACCAATGAACTTGAAATCTGTTCATTTGCTTGAAACGAGTGAACCACTAAATTAAGACAAATTGCTGTCAGCTGCTTGTTCCGTTTCCATTCGCGGTTTTACTGAAACTCACGCAGGCTACGTTTAAATTAAACGGATACGGGGTTTAATGAGAATGGTAGGTGTTATTTTTTTTTTCCTTCTCATAACAGAGTTGGTTCTTTCAAAACTCGAGGACAGCCCGTTTTAACCGTCATGTGGCGTTCCAAGTCATTTCGTGCTCAGAACTCGCCATGAAACTACGTTTTGGAACAGCAGAGTATATTTTATTACGATCAGTTTTCTCGGTTTTGTTTGTCTGCTCGTGTTTATCACAAAAGCTTGTTTCAATTACTACCCTGTGGCATCTGAAAATCACTGTGGATGTCTTTACTTAAATCATGAATTGGGTGTATTGATTCATATACACTGAAACAGGGCCGTCCTTAGCTGATGCGGGGCCCGGTGCGAGGTAGGGTGCGGGGCCCCTCTCGGTCCGTTTGCCACGGGGACCC